GCAGAACTCCAACATTTGTTCCCTTTGAAAGCTTTGCCTTGGACTTATTTTCTAATTAGATAAATATGATCAAATTACAAAATTTAGGCTAAAAATGGGGAGAGAGACATTCAGAACTTTTATGCTTTGGGGCATAAAATCAGCGCACAGTTTTGTAGTGAGAGAAGATCAATATCTGTGTTTGGGGGAGTCATCATCTGATAAATAGGAAGCATTAGTACAGATGATCTGTTTGAGAGGTCCTAGTAAGTTCTTGTTTGCAGAGTCCTGATAAATTCTTGTTTTCCAACACTGAAGAAGAGCAGGACCCATGTGACAAAGCCTAAGTATGCTGCCTGTTCTGTGGTATAAATTGTTCCTGAAAACAGAAGGTGTAGCTATTAAATATTATATTGCCATAAAGTAAAGTTAGGAATCTTAAAAATCATTGGAACCTCCACACCCCACCCAGGAGCATTTATCATTTTAAACCACTTAATAACAAGGAACTAGAATCAGTAATTATGGGACATTTATCCATAACTTGGGGGGGGTCAATGAAATTGCATATGTTTTTTGTGGCAGACGGCGTCATTATTACTAATGCATATATGTTTGAATTCACTGTAGCTTTGCGGGTTTCAATACAAGGTTCTCCTGGTGCTATGATCCAGAGGGCTGGAAGGGGCCTCTCTGGGTTGGAGATTGGCAGGCCTTACATTTTCTGTTCAATGACTATTTCCACCCTCTCCTCCCCTTGCCACTGCTGTAAAATTACAGCCTACACGTGGTGAGCCAGCTATGTGGCCTAGAAGCTGTAGGCTTCTAAACCGAAGAGGGAAGCAGCGCCCTCTAGAGGAGGGCTGGAAAGGGGATTAGCCTAGATTTCTTTTCAGGGCAGGCTGCACTTTGGGACCCTCAGCAACTTGATAGCTTCCAAATGTTCTTTGTGTTCCTTACAGTACAGGGTCTTTGAGGCAGAGCCAGACCCAGAGCCATACACAAAAGGAAATTATTAAATACATACTTCCCCTCATTGTGCCTCAGCCCCTTCCCCCACCCAGGCTGAATTCGCCAAGATTAGTTTCAAGAAATACCTTAAAAACAATGGGAAAACTGGACTAAAGAGCACTGCCGTGAAATAACTCATGGGAGAAAGCAGTCATTTAAACCTTGTTAACGCGGTACTTGCCTGGAAAACCAGCAGCTATCTAGCCAAAAATGTTCAGAGCTTGGTTACAGAGGCAATAGTCACCTGAATTTATATCTGAAACACCAAGGAATGGCCTTGTGATCAATCAAATTGTTTTTCCTTGGAGCTCCATTCCTTTCTCTCTTACTTAATCTCTTAGGCCAGCAGCCACATCCTGTCTTCTCCCTTCCTGCCTATGCTGGACTCCATTTCAACAACACTCACAAGCATTTTCCATTCCTTTGACTCCTTCACCTTCCATATCACAGCTTTGGCAATCCCTACTCAGTCCTGGCTCACTTCTGTGGTCCCCTTTGCCTGTTCCTGTTCCCAGGCTGCTGAAGACCTATCTGGGGAAAATTGCATATCCATGCTCATTGGCTCCACTACAAATGCATGCTTTTCAACCTCAGCTGGACCCTCAACTCTTATCCTTAATCCTTTTCTCATCCATAGCTGGCTCCTGCTAGCATTTCCCACAGCAGCTGTTCCAAGCCTTCATTTCTTTTCTCAGGGCCCCACTTCTGGCTTCTTCACTTTAAGCAGATGACCTACATTTCTAATTTCTTTTAAAACTTCCATAAGGTAACAGCGTTCTCTCATCTTCTCAGCTAATTCTTGGTAACCATTCATCCTTTACCTTCTCCCCTGTATTGTGATTTTTAACTCTTCTTGTCTTTTCTCACAGCTGGGAAATATGTTCTAGTATCAGCTATTTTTGCACAGACACTCATTTTTTAAAATTTCTTCTCTTTACACCCCAAACTTTATTTGCTGCATTTCTTTTGTATCTGGATTTACTGAAGCCATAATTAGTATAAGGCATCTCTAATTGCTAACCATCAATTTACTACACAACCTTCAAGCTGTTGGCTTCCTGATTCCGATCAGGCTTTCCACAAAGAGTCATAACTCTGTATTTTCTTCCCCATCTTCTTTGTTTCTTGGAAACAATCATGCTCACTGCTTGCAGCTGTGAAACTGGTTACCAGGAAGATACCGACTCTGCAGCTTCTCAAATCTAGTTGTCACTTCTCTTTGCTTTTGTGGGTTTATGATCACGAAAATACTACACTATCATGTCGATGTGTTTTCGCAGTAGAACCAGATTGGATGCTTAGGTTGAATCAGGGATATTTGTTTAGGTATGCCTTTTTCTCTCTACTGCTCCTATTATCTTGTCTTCCTCTTTCATGGGTATCTCTCAGGAAACTGCTTTCAGCTTCCCGTCTCACTCTGTTCTACCTGTTATCCTGAGTGATAAGTTTACCCCTTCATTTAAAGGATCTTTTTATTTTATTTCATATATTTTTGAAACAAGGTCTCTCAATGTAGTCCTGGCTGTCCTGGAACTCACTATGTAGACCAGGCTGCCATTGAACTCACAAAACTTCACCTGCCTCTGCCTCCCAAATGCCGGGATTAAAGGTCTGTGCACCATGCCCAGCTAAATGTGTCGTTTAAGAACATAACTTAATAATCTGTATCTTCACTCTTGAGTTCTTCCTCATCCCCAGACTATCCATGTACGCACTAAAATTATCTGCATATAAGTGTCCTGTAGGCATGCTGAACTCATCTTCCCCTCCAAAATGTTTTTACTTCCTACCTTTCCTCTCCTAATTAATGATATCATTTGTGGCCAAAGGTAGAATATGCAGAGTCATGCCTATCTGTTTTTCTCTGAGTAGAAAGCTGCTGTTTTTGGGAAGCAGAGATAATATCTCATTTATTTGTGGGCCTCCTGGCCATCATTCCAGGCACTCATAAATTTGTTAAATTATGGGAATTTGCTTTGGAATCTAAATACAGTACAAGGCTAAAGTTACCAAATAGACAATGAAGCATACACCAATGTGTTCAGCTTCTGCATAGATAAATTGCTTATTTTATGAAAATTTTCCTTGACATGAAACCAAGTTATGCATAATTTGTGATTCAAATAATCTCTCCTGTTCTTCAAAAAGTCGAGTTCTTAGGGGAAGTAAAAGCAATTGTACAACATTTCCTTCACTTTATCTGTCTCTCTAAGCAAATAAAATTGTCTTCTAGACATTGAAATGTCCTGCATCTTAGTGAAAACCTCTAATTTTCTATTACTTCTGGGAGAAGGGGTTCCATAATTGGGGTTTTATAAATGCAAATTGAGTATTCTTTATCTGAAATGTCAGTGTTTTAGATTTGGTATTTTCTTTTGGAAGGTGGAATATTTGTGTATACATAGCTGGAGGATGAGAATCCTCAGCATAAAATTCATTTATGTTTCATATATGTTTTAATCACTTAGCCTGAAGGTCATTTTTTTTTGCGATATTTATACTTACCAAAACTTTGTCTGAAACTCATCACATGAGGTCAGGGGTGTCATTTTTCACCTGTGACGTTATATTGACACCAAAAATATTTTAGATTTTGGGTCACTTTCGGCATGGAATTTTCAGATTCAGAATGCTTGAGCTGAACAAAATTTAAAAGGTAACAGCCCCTAGGAGAAAGAAGTAGAATTAATGCACTCAAAGAGTTGAGTGTTCTTCATTTTTCTTCTTTTTCTCTAAACAGAATGCACTAGAGAAATTTCTTTGAGTTTCACAATCTTTTTAAAGATATTATTTCATGATGTTTTGAGGCGAATATATACTTACAGCTCTTGATTGATTGATCAGCTCTTTCAGATTAGGCTATTGTTTATACATTTAATTTGCACTGTATTTTTAGATGGAAGCTTAGACAATAACTTGCTACCAAGATTCAAGTGTAATTAACTGAACTACTTATTGTTTTCCATACTCCATGTTAGCAAATTCATGTATATTTTTTATACAGCCTTTGGTGTAGATTCCAGACTTGAAGACTGGGAATGCACAACTTTTCTATCATAAATAAAGGACCTAGGAATTTAAGAATTTCATAGAGAATATGTATATAAATGAAAAAGTTTATGGCAGGAAGGATTAATTGCATCAGTGGCGCATTGAAGGCTTTGAACAATAAGGTTTAAAAGTTCAGGTGTTTCCTTTCTAAAAAGAGAAAGAGAAAGAACATGGACTTGGGTGGATAGGAAGGTGGGATTGGGGAGAAGTAAGAGGAGGGGTAACTGTGATCAGAATATATTATATGAAAAAAATTTCAATTAAAAACAGGAAAAACACACAGAAAAACGCTCAGATGTTTTGTGGAGACAATGGGGAGCCATTAAAATATTCTGAGCACTAGAACCACATGTTACAGTACGTCCTTCCAAAGGGTCACTCTGGCAATAGTAACAAGGGATGAACTTGGGATTAGATTATCTGGTTAATAGGCTGTTAGGAGAAAAATATGGTGAATAACCTGAAAGAGTCAGTAAATGAGTGAAAAGAGAGGAGTATTTTCTTTTTTATTATTTAAAACTATTTTAAATTTAAATATATTTTAATCACATTCTTCCCCTCCTCCATGACCTGCTAGAATCTAGATCCTCCCCCCATTCCTGCCTACCCAATTTTAAGTTCTTTCTCAAAATACAAACAAAAAGCTAATATAACAACAAAACTCCCAAACCAAGAAATCACAACAAAACAATACCCTCCCCTGCAAAATCCCACCAAACTATAGCCAAATAAAAGCAGGCACACACACAAAAACTGTGGGATCCTTTATATGATGTTCAGGAGGCCTGTCCTGGAGTGGTTAATATACCTACCCACTATCACTCTATTGGAGAAACTGACTTACTCTCTCCTGGCAGGTATGACAGTTCAGTTGTTAACCTTTATCCTAGTGGTAAGATTTTTGTTTATTCATCCATCCATTCATTCATTTACAAATATAAATAACAAAATAAAATATAAACTATGTGGAACACATCAGGAATTTGCATGTCATCATTGGGCAGGGGCCATGATAATCTTTTTGTATCGTTTTAATTTTAGTATATATGCTGCCAAAGAGAGCATGGTGAGGAGTATTTTCAAGAATATTTGGGAAGACTTACTGATGGAATATAGGGTATTGTGGAAAACTCGGGTGATCACTAAAGTTGTGCTGCCAATAATAAACTGAGAAATTCAGGTGATGTGTATAAAGTATTGAGGAGTCGAGACAATGATAAAGTGAGACAAGAAACACATTTAGGAACTTAGCTGTAGACTTTACAGATTGGAAAATAGAGTGCAGAAATATCATGTCATCTTGCCACGGTCAGTTGATAGCAGGACTACAGTGGGAAGTTCTGAGAACGAAGGCAGTGATCTTTCCTTGCTGCAAATATTGACAAAATAATGAGACTTGACAGAAATTTAAGATACCCTAGTGTTCATTTAGTATAAACATTTCATTTGTAGGAGGGATCTCTGGAGTCTACAGAAAGGAGATAACTAGCCTGAGGCTCTTCGCTGATAAAACATGTATGGGGTGAGGAAGTGCCGGGGGGTGGTAGTGGTGGTGCAATATACTAAGCCAATAATGCAGTATTTATCAGTGAATTTCTTAAACAAATTATTCAGAACTGTTCATCAGAGGGAAGAATACCTTTTCTCCCATTTAATTCTAATCCTAGCAATGAGAACACCATATAAAAATCAGAGAAGTTCCTGAAAAGTATTCAACATAACAAAATAAAATTTTTCTTCCATCTCTTACCTTGAATTTCTCTTGTCAGTTGAATCTTCTTTCATTTCTATTTTTTTCCTCTACCAACCTCTCAGAGTCCCTCACCTAGGTCCTTGTGCTACAGGTACAACCATATTATAGATTACAAATGACTATTTGCTCTCTGTGTACTGATTTAAGTGACTGGATTATGTGGACCAATAAATGAAAATTCATGAAACTTATGAGAAAGTTTTCATGCTGTTTTAAAAACCAAGTCAATAACTAATTAAGTTGTTCCTCAGACTAAAGAGATGGCTCATAGGATAAAGCTCTCACTGCCCAATTGTGAGGGCAGGCATAGCAGCTGCTTACCATCCCAGCACTGGGGAAGCAGAGACAGGAAATCCCTGTGGTAAACTGGCTAGCTAGACTAGCCAGAATTATTGAGCTCTTGGTTCAGTTGAGAAGTCCTTCCTCAATAAAGAAAATGGAGAATGATTGAGGAAGACATGGACATCAACTTTTAGGCTTCCATATGTATACACATATGTGACCACAAGCATGTAAACATGCACATGTGTGTTTGCATATCACATACAGATACACGAAATATTGTTGTTTCTATTATGTGCCAGACTGTGCTAAATAGTTGAAGGATACAAAAATTAATAAAAGATATATTCCTGTCTTACAGTTTTACAAATTAGTGGAGCATAGGCATAAACAGTGCAAATGAACACTCAATAACAATATTTTGAGAGCTCTTGAAGAAAGTATCAGCAGAGTTAAGATAGGTAATAAAAGAAAAGTTAAAATTTAAAAGTTTAAAATTTAACACCATCTTGTTAATTTCAAGGACAGAGATTTAGATGATCACTGGGGGTTTATGGAAGTGAAAAAATTGAATCAGACACTTAACAATTTATATTTTGTGAGCACATACATAGTGTGTATAGAGCCTTCCAAATGAAGCCAATGGTTCTTTGTTTCTATGAGTTTATCAAGGTAAGACTTGTTTATATTCAGCATTTTCATGCCATGTGTATTTTATTAAACACAAAAGTTTTAAAAATTGTTCACTAATGAATACTGTCTTTTAAAAATAAAACTTTTGCTATTTTTTAAAAACATTCATACTTGTATAAAATGTATTTTTATGTTATCTAACATCTGCTATCACCCTTTAATTACCCCTGGGACTTACCAACTCATCTGTCCCTACTATTATTATTGTTGATTTATTATTATTATTATTATTATTATTATTATTATTATTATTATTATTCCTCAGAGTTTAGTTAGTGGTGATCATGTGTAAAAAAGTATGGGGCTAGCCGCTGGGGCATGGGCAATTTGCCAGTGGCCACATTCCCAAAGAGAAGTAACTATCCCTCCTCCCTCAGTGTTTCAACTCCTCATCTAGGAGTGGGCCTCTGGAGCCCCCCACCTCTTAAATTCTTTCCTCCCACTGTTATATAATGTTCCTTGAGACACTGATGATTGAACAGTATGTTTTATTCCTTTCAGGTAGTACTAATATCTGTCAATCTAGATAAGAAGTAGAAAGTAGGAGAAAAAGCAACTGGTTTGTGCATTAGAATTGGCAAAGGTGTGATATGCAGGAAGATGTTATATGGACCAGAAAGTTTTGATAGATGAAAATTCTATTATATTATTTTAAGCCTTATTTGCTTTCACATATTAACCACATTAAATTTCATGCTATCTTCAATGTCACAAGTAGGTTCTAATATGTAAACATTAATGAAATGGGATCAAGTATTTTAATATGGACTTAGGACTGGCAACATTACATGGAAAATAGGGTTTGACATGTGGAGAAAATGGTTTTTAAAATAGTGTGGATTAAACATTGACTTATATTGTGCAGCAATAATTCAACCATAATTGAGCATACTCAATAACTCACTGTATGATATTGGTTATGTGTCTAATCTCTGGTCTGCTGTAGGATAATGCTTTTGTACACTGATTTAATAAAACACTGATTGGCCAGTAACCAGGCAGGAAGTAGAGGTGGGGTGAGCAGACTAGGAGAATATTAGGAAGAGAAAGGGTGGAGTCAGGAGTCACCAACCAGACACAGAGGAAGCAAGATTACAAGGCAGAACTGAGAAAAGACACCAAGCCATGTGGCTAAACAGATAAGAATTATGGGTAAATTTTAAGTGAAAGAGCTAGTCAGTAATAAGCCTGAGCTAATGACCAAGCAGTTATAATTAATATAAGCCTCTGAGTGATTATTTTATAAAGGCTGTGGGACTGTGGGTAAGAGATTTGTCCTGACTGTGGGCCAGGCAGGACACAGAAAAATTTCCAACTACAAATGGCTGCCCAACATGGAGCGAGAGTTCCCTCCTGAGAAAGCTTTTTAAAAAAAAGATTCAAAAACAGAGCTAAAAACAACTTCTTAGTTGTGTCTCTCAGGCAAGCAATGAGCTACAGTATTGTGGGTTCACAGTGGCATGTGGGCTTGATCTACAGCATGGTGGATTCCCGCCACAGTACACAGAGGCATCTGCAAGCAGAGCAGCATGGTGCTTGGTAGATATAGCTTTTGTCAGTACAGACAAAAAAAATGGTTTCTGGGCTACATGCTGCTTTGATGGAGGCATAGACTCACTGCTTCCAAGAGTTGGTGATGCACATGGCTCCCAGAGCTGGAGGTAAATGTATCTCCACCATATTGGGAAGTTGAAGTGAGCGGAGTCAGCAGCCAAGGCTTTTGCTTCAGTCCTAAGCACTGCAGTTTAAAGCAATAGATTTACAAAGACAGATTCAGATGGAATAAGACTTTAAATGGTTTACAGTGTGTGTAAAAATGTACGTAGGCTTGGAAGAGAAAAGAAAATTAATATAGACAGTTATATAAATAAATAGTTTTAAAAAATAAAGTCTTTAAAGAGAATGTAAAAGTAATATAAAAATTAAGCCATGTAAAGGTGGAAATCACACAGAGAGTCTGGATTATATTATCTTTGGGATTTTTAACTGCAGAAAGACATTTGAAGGCTGCTAAGTTAAACCAATATATGTATTTTAAAGGTATCTTGACTTCAAAATTGGATCTAAGTTTATGTTGCTTTGGAAAGGAGGTTCTGCTTTTGTTTCCACAGGAAGTAAGAGGCTATGGATTTTTTCCAGGTTAAGATGGATCAGATTTGATCAAGCCAGACCTCCTGAACCTTAACAGATGGTACCTATCAGCAAAGGTTATAGCTGGTCTTCCCAGGACTTGACCATTGTCTCGAATTTTCTCAGGATCCCTATAAGACTACCAGTGCCCCCTATCTACCTAGAACACTATGCCCACATTCCCCAAAACTGTATTATGGATATTTGTCTTTATTTAGGTTGTTGGTTACAAATTGTTATTGGCCATAGTCAATCTCTTTCTAAAAGAAGAAAGGGGGATATGATATAGGTACATAGGATATAGATATGATAGGATAAAAGGGTAGATTATTGAATCTACTTTTAAAGAGCAACAATTTTTTTGAAATGTTTTACATTGCTGTGGATTTTAGTTTATTGATTCAAATTTAAAGTTAATTTTGTTATACTGTATGTATATTTCTACTCTTGTTTAAGGTATTATGTTTGTGCAGTTCATTTAAAATTGTAATGCATCATTAAGAAATACAGATTTATAGTTAATCATCTATGATAATCAAACTTGTAGTCATGTTAGTTAAGTTTTCTAGATATACATAGATATATTTCAATTAGGTAGGTAATCTTCAAACACTTCAAAGACCTACAGAATATGGCATTTAAAATGTTTTAAGAACTTTAACTTCCTGGGCATTGAGACATGTCTGCTCCTGGCAGTACCAATCTACTTCAGGGAAGATAATGGGCATTGAAGAAACTCATTATGGAGTTTGCTTTCTTTGTGGCAAAAGTTAGCCACTGGGCAAAAAAGTGCCCTTGAGTCAACTGATTGACAGTATGTTGTATAAACTGGACATGCAGGACCCATAGGACGGTGACCACTGAACTTTGCAAGGTGAGATGGTTCCTGCTTCACAGAAGAAACTACCAGACATTCTCCAGGATACAGAGAGAAGCAACTGAGAGACTCTAGACCTATAGGCTAAAAATGGATGCCCCAACATTACAGAGGAACTTTGGGTAACTGTCCAGGCAGCCAACTGTCTCTGTCATTCTAGATTTTTGGAAGTTGCTTACAATACATTTCCTGTTTACTTAGGTAATAGTATATCCTTCTGGAGTCTTTGATATAGTTGAAGACTAGATAGTTATATGATAAAGGATAAATTAGATATGAAACTTTAGACTCACAAACATAGGCTAGATAGAATATTTTCTTTAATTTTGC